AAAAGAAAAAACTAGAAAAAAAAAAAAAAAAAAAAAAGAAAAAGGCATTTCCATGCCGGTCCAGGTCTAGCTTACATGTGATGTCGTTGGTGTCAATCGCGCCGAGGTAGGATAGGCGGACGATGCTAGCGATGCAGATGCTAGAATGGGAACGAACAGGTGAGTCGGTTAGTCAGATGTATTCGGAGGTTTGGGTTTTCCACCAGGAACATACAATCCTCCCATTAACAACACGGCCGTCACGCCCAACTTCTTCTCGTGCGTCATCTTCAGTCGCCAAATCAGCGGCAGGGGCAGGCACAGAATGATCACATCTGTCAAGAGATTCGAGATGGAGTTACCATAGTAGAATTTCATCTGGTCGATGCAGTGGCTGTCGGCGGCCTTGGAGAGGTTCCAGGCCGCGTCGACGGGCAGGCAGGTGAGGATCTGGGCGAGCACGACGGAGATCATCCAGCCCAGCACGATGGCACCCACCGCGGCCGTGGCATACCCGAAGGTCTTGGTCGGGAACAAGCGGCGGTACATAAGCAGGATGGACAGCTTGATCGTCGGTAAGGTGAGAGCATAGCAGAGGTTGTCGATATATACGAGCTGTTGATCTTGTTGCCTGATCAGCCAGCAGCTCCTCGATGCGCGTGTCTCTCCGAGGGTGAGAGGATAGATCGGGTATGTATGTTTGGGGTCTCTCTCTCTCTCTCTCTCTTACCATCAAAAATCGCTCCAGCTGGTCAACCTCCAGGAGACTCGCATGGAACCCGGCGAACCCAATCGTACAAATTAAGATGCCCGTGACGTATAGTCCGCTGGCGAAGACCAGGGCCAACAGCGCCAGCCAGTCATCCACGCCGAGATTCCGCGCCCGTCGCCGGGCGAGGAACCGCAGTAGCACCGCGAGAAACGCCCCCGTCTGGAGAACCGTGGAGACGGTGACCATGGAAACGGCGTGTCGCGCCACGACTGGAGCGTGGAGGCGCGCCATGGCGGAGGTGATCTCGAGAGGAGAAGTGATTTCTATTTTGCTTCTGTTTTTCTGAGCTGTTGCAAGAAGAGTCCTAGATAGCTGAAGTGAATCTGCTTGCTGGCGCGGGTTGGAGGCAGGTTAACTAGGCGGTGATCATTGCTTACACGCCGGCCACTGCACTTCGCCCCCAAGTAGGGGTGATGTTGGTGATGGTGGTGACAGGGGTTGATCTGCTTTGGGGAGGGGAGGGGGGGAGGGCATATCAGCTGAGTTCCTCGGTAGTTAGGAATGCCGTTGGAGTATCGCAATTAACTTGCAGCCTGCAGAACTGCGGGCTGAGTTTCCGCTTGGAACGCTTGGCATCAAGTGCGCCACACTTCAAGTTCGTTTTCGAGGCCAGAACCCCCGTGGACTCGGACTGGCTGTGCTGTTTAATTACCTCTGCAGTGTACTAAGGCACGGTAAACAATAGCACGCACGTGCATTCCGCGCTTCTTCCGACAGGATCGGCGCGGCAGAGGCGTATCGGCTTGTAAGCAAGTACGAACAGAGAATCGAGCTTCAGATAGATTTGCTTCGGTCGGTGGACTATGTACATGAGTGTATTGTCCACAGGTAGTTTTGTGTTGTCACTGTAGGCTTCTGTCGTTCCGTTCAGGCGTGGGATTGCCGGTTACCGATCTTTTGCTTCTGCACTTCACCAGGTGTCGCAGTCGGTCAGATTCCAAGTCCCCCTGCACTTGATTTCGGACGTACACCCCTGTCGAGTTGCACCCTACAAGAATCATCTGACCCGGCTGGTGAAGAGGATTTAGTGGGGGCCGAAACTGAAGTAGGTTTAGACGCGGGGGTGTGGTGGGGGCTAAAAGGCAGCTCGTTACTCGGAGCTCCCTTGAGTCAAGCGTTAAGCGCCATTCTCGATTCGAGCTGTCGAAAGGAACAATAAGATGAACCCTGGCAGGAGTACCTTATTTGTTTGACCCCCCCAAAAAAAGATGGCTGTATCCCAGCTGTCGGGGATGGAAGTGGCCAAAATGCGGCATTGCCCGGGAGCAGAAGTATTACTATCCTATCCTATGTGGGGCTTACTCCTAGGAACTGCACTAACGGACACGGCATAAGCACTAAGAAGTGGGCCCTCAATTTGATAACAAGAGCCCTGAAATTGGCGATCCACCAATTTCCTCAGGAAAAGCAGGAAAGAATTACAGAAGTGAGGTACTGTACAAGGTACAGAGAGAATGTGCTAAGCCGGCACCAGTTCGCTGTTCTGTGCACGCTCCATCGTGGCCCGGACCGCAGTCACCAATTGATGAAGCTCCTCGCCCTCGGTGGGCACTCCATGGCCAACCGTATGGACCACTTGCTCGTTGACCCCGTTGTCGCATAGCGCCGACAAGGACGGCCCCATGCCGGGATAGTCTTCGTCGTTGGACGCCCAACAATTGACCGTGGGCAGACGGATCCAGGCGTGGTGACCGGGAGGGAGCTCCCGGACCAGGCGAACCTCCCCTCGCTGCAGAGCGGCCAGGTCAAAGGGATCCCCACCGCAGAGGAAGACGGCAAATCGAAACGGAGACTTGGCGAGCAGGGGGCGTAAAGCCAGTGGGAGGTTGCTTTGGTTTGGGGTGGTGTCGTTGGCCGTGGCTAGGGCTATCAGAAGAGTGGCCGCAAGGACCGCCCCCTGAGAAAAGCCGATCACCCCATCAAACGGCCCGTTGGTACGTGCGTACACTGCTAGATCCTCCACCGCCCGCAGAATACTCGCCGCTGACTCGTCGAAGTAGGAATAGCAATCCACCTGTTCTCCGAAGACGTCGCAGATGCCCCGTGCTGGGGGCCATAGCACTGCCCCGTCGATAAAGTCGAATTCATGTTTTGGTTGGTTGTTGTGGTTAGTGTTGTGTTTCTCATCTTGGCTCAGGTTGTAACGCAGGGCGGCTACGTGCCCGAGGAACATTCAACATGTCAGATTAGCATGATGCAGCGCACCTGGGCGAGTGAAAGATAGATGGATCGCTGGATTCACGGAGATCGTACCTGTCTGTGCCCGAAGGATCTGTCGGTTGTGTTTCGTCTTGTCAAAAACTGGCGTTTGGCACGGGTGTTGTCCAGAAGGAGGACTATACGTACATCGCTGTTGGTGCCCAGCCCGTGGAGGCAGAGGAGGCGCATGATGACCGGTACCTTGTACTGGACAGTCTGATCGAAGGAGAGGTGTGAGGGGTAGTAGAGACCTGGCTGGACCTAGAATGGTGTGATAATTATATACTTCATACCCTTGTCGGTGTCATTGCCGAGGCCTTGAATACGGCGAGGATGTAATCCAATCTGGGACCGGATAAAACGGATAAAGTAGGAGAGCTCCAGAGAAGAGAAAGTGGGAAGGTGAGTGGCACACAAATTGGGAAAAAAAAAATGCACATTGTAAAAGAAAAAAATAAATTAAAAAAAATAAATAAATAAGAGAACTAGCACACATTATCGACAGAGTAGATGATCTGCTAAAAGGCATGTCACCTCGGCTTTGCCAGAACAAGCTAATGCCTTGCGAGGCTCTATCAGTGACCACTGACAGTTACCAGTAACGAAGTGTTCGGCTTGATAAATGTCGCCGCGGCACTTCAAGACCCCTCTGGTAGGTTATCATTGACACTAGAGGACAATTTGACCTCATGAGAACGCAAATATCTACCATGGAAGACCCTATTGTTGTTGTGGGATTCTCCCTGAAGTTTCCTCAGGATGCGGACTCTAGCGAAGGCTTCTGGAATATGCTCCATGAAGGGCGCTGTGCTATGACTGAATTCCCCGCAGATCGATTCAATATCGATGCTTTTGAGGGGCCCAAAAGTGCGACCAATGGAACTGTAAGTGCATCGATTCTCGCAAAACTCTGCTAGGCTGCCACAGTAAGCTCACCTTGATATCCAGATGCCACTTCGCGGTGGCCACTTTCTCAAAGAGGACCTGGGCGTTTTCGATGCGCCGTTCTTCAACGTGACGCCGGCGGAGGCAGAGGCGATGGACCCCCAGCAGCGCCTGTTGCTGGAAACTTCGTATCGGGCCTTGGAGAATGGTGGGTACAAACTGATTTCTCGCTCTCCCCCCCCTTGAGATACCAACTCACGTGTTCAATAGCCGGCGTCACTATCGGTCAATGCGCGGGGAGCAAGACCTCGGTCTATACGGCTACCTTCACAGATGACTACAAGAGCGTTCTGATGGACGCGCCGGATAACATCCCCAAGTACGCGGCGACAGGGCTATCGGGGTCTATGCTGGCCAACCGCATCAGTTGGTTCTACGACTTCCGCGGGCCCAGCATGAACCTCGACTCCGCTTGCTCGAGCAGTCTGAGTGCTCTACATATCGCGTGTCAAGACCTGCACGCAGGGACGTCCACAATGGTATGAGCCGCCCATTGCAGTCAACGAAGAAGAGGACTACTGACCAGTGTATATGCTGCAGGCACTCGTGGGCGGCTGCAATCTAGTTTTCCACCCCGACTTCATGCTGATCATGTCCAATATGGGGTTCCTGTCGACCGACAGCAGATGCCAGAGTTTTGATCACAAGGCCAATGGCTACGCGCGCGGAGATGGCATCGGGGTGGTGGTGATCAAAAAGCTGTCGCAAGCCCTGGCCGACGGCGATACAATCCGCGCCGTCATTCGCGCGACGGGGTTGAACCAAGATGGGCGGACCCCCGGCGGAATCACACAGCCCAGCGGGGACGCCCAGCGGGCATTGATCGAAGAGACCTTTGCCAAGGCCTTATTGGATATGCAACCTGTCCGCTTCTTTGAGGCCCATGGGACGGGGACCGCCATCGGTGACCCAACCGAATCTCATGCGATCGGGCTATCCTTCCTGGAATACCGGTCAGCCGAGGACCCCTTGTTCATTGGCGCAGTGAAGTCGAATATCGGGCATCTGGAGGGGGGAAGTGGCATTGCGGGCCTCATCAAGACCATCATGATTCTCGAGCGGGGCGTCATCCTCCCAAACTCGGGTCTGGAGCGCATCAACCCTAAGATCGATACCCAGGGGCTTCATATCCAGTTCCCGACTGCGCCCATTCCATGGCCAAGCACTGGCTTGCGACGGGCCTGTGTAAGTATCCCGGGAAAGAGGTGTTACTCGCCCCACATGGTTAATCACGCTGACCGACGGTCCAATGTTAGGTGAATTCGTTTGGATTTGGCGGATCCAACGCGGTCGTTGTTCTCGACGATGCATTGAATTACCTTGCACAAAATGGCCTCCGCGGCCATCACCGGACTGCAGACCTGACCACAGACCCAACAAAGATGCTGTCCAGAGGTACAAAAGAGGCATCCCCCCCTCAACTGTTGGTCTGGTCTGCTGCCGATGAGAAGAGCCTTAGGAGTATGCTCGGCGCATACGAGCAGTTCTTTGCAGATCAGTCTAGTCACCTGCAAAGCCCAGATACATTTGTAGACCTGGTGCATACTCTGACATCGAGAAGAACTCGCCACAATTGGAGATCATCCGTGGTAACCACCAAGGAGGAAAACCTGCGTTCACTACAGGAATCCAGTTCTAAGCCCGTTCGTGCAACTGTCACGCCGGGCTCCATCGCATATATTTTCACTGGGCAAGGCGCACAATATGCCCGGATGGGACATGGCTTGCTAGCCATTCCCTTTTTCCGGAACCGGGTTGAGCAACTGGACAAGATCTTGGGAGAGCTGCAGTGCGGATGGTCGTTACTAGGTATGGACTTAGGCATTCAAAACTCGGGCATCACTTGCGCTTTTATTTTCTTGTTTCCCCACAAGGTTAATGAAGATGCCCAAACACTGACATGCACTTAGAGCTCATTCAGGATCCCGACGCCCGGGTGGACGAGCCCGAGTATAGTCAAACATACTCGACAGCGCTCCAGATTGCTGTGGTCGATTTCTTCATGCACGTCGGTGTCGTCCCTTCAGCGGTGGTAGGCCATTCTTCTGGCGAGATCGCAGCGGCGTAGGTCTCTTCTCCGGAAAGATCTATCTTCAACCATCACTGATTCAAAATTTCAATTTCCTAGGTACTGCGGAGGGGCCATCAGCGATCGCACTGCCTTGCGGATAGCTTTTCACCGCGGCCGATTAGCACAGCGCCTGCCGCATTTGCATGCTGTCCCACAGGGCATGTTGGCCGCCGCCGTCAGTGTGGAACAGGTTCAGCCGTACATGAGTCAGCTGGGACAGGTAGTCGACGAGCAACGTGTACAGATCGGCTGTGTCAATAGCCCGACAAGCATCACCTTAACCGGAGACAAAGACCAACTGGAGTGGTTGCGGTCATGTCTCGAAAAGGACGGCCACTTCACTCGGATGCTGCGTGTCAATGTAGCGTACCACTCCACGTTTATGGAGTCCATCAAGGAAGATTATCTGATTGCGCTGCAAGGCATGGATGGCGATCCGGTCGGGGAACCGCTCGTCCCCATGATCTCGACAGTCACGGGCCAGGTCATTCCCCCTCGCATGCTGCGCGATCCGGCCTACTGGATCAGCAATATGGTCTCCCAGGTCAGGTTTGCCTCCGGGATAGCACTGCTGGCTGTACTCTCCGGCCGCGCTCCTCGGAAGCACCTTGGCTCCAAGTTCCAGTCTCTCTCCGGCATCAGGACTTTGCTAGAGATCGGCCCGCATTCGACACTCCAGGGCCCCTTGCGGGACATAGTTCAAGAGCTGGATGTGCAGAGTCAATTCACTTATGACCATGCCTTGAACCGAAAGCAAGACGCCGGGCAGAGTGTTCTTCAATGTATCGGTCGCCTCTGGAGTCGGGGCCACTCCATTGATTTGCGCAGGGCGAATGGCCTCTGCGATCAGTCGCCGGCGTTAAGAACTGACCTGCCGGAATATCCATTCAACCACACCCAAAGGCACTGGTTCGAGGATAGGTTGAGCTCAGCTTTCAGATTCCGCACGCATGGTCCCCACGAACTCCTTGGGATTCTGACTGTCGACTCGAACCCATACGAAGCGCGGTGGCGCAACATCCTCCGTCTGGATGACCTCCCGTGGCTGGCGGATCATCAGGTAAGTTTCGACGAACTGATTTCTATTCATCCAACCGGCGACTAGTTGACTGACTGTCCCAACCTCCGTGCTTGCTTTATGCTCCAGATCAGCGATAGCATTTTATTCCCTGCGGCAGGGATGCTAGCCATGGTCATCGAGGCTGCACAACAGCTTGTATCACCCCAACAGGACAAGAAGACATCTGGCTTCGAGCTCCGCGAGATCCGATTCCTCAACGCGCTACAAGTGCCAGATAGTGTCCAGGGGATTGAGACGCAGGTTACCTTGTCGCACGCGGGTCACCGGGGTGGAATCCACGCAGCGACATGGTACGCGTTCAAGGTCTTTACATTTACTTCCCGACGGGAGTGCGTTGAACATGCTCATGGGACTATAAGAGTGGACATGGCTCGCCTGGATCAGCCGGACCCTACCACCGCGACTCTGGCCTACCACCAGCAGGCCGTGCATCAGGCTCGACAGGGCTGTGAGACCGCGCTAGATTCCACGGTGCTGTACAGCATCATCCGGGAGAATGGCGTGAATTATGGACCGAAGTTCCAAACTCTGGAGAATCTGCGCATTGATCGCCGCGGAGGCGCCGTGGCGGACATCCACCCGTGCTCCAAGGAGTCGGACTTTCCCCGGCAGAGTACATATGTCATGCATCCGGCGACGATGGACGGGCTGCTGCAGCTGGTGTTCCCGGCCCTCAATGAGGGCGGCAGTCGCCCGTTGCCCGCGATGGTTCCGTCGTACGTGAAGAGGCTGGCCATTGCTGCTGCCCACCCCGGGCAATCCGATGCCGCCGTGGACCAACCCCTGGTGGCTACGACGCGGTCATCAATGCATGGCTCTAACGGCACCCAGTCCGACGTGGTCGCCCTGTCCAAGCTCGATGGGCAAGTCATCTGCGCGATCGATGGTTATGAGACCAAGTTTGTGGCCTCGGTCAACGACGAGTCGGTGGCGGAGCGAGCTGCGCGACCGCTCCACAGCCAGGTCGTGTGGCTACCGGACCTGGATCTAATGACCAACGAGCAAATCCGCCGATTCTGCACGCAGGCCCTACCGCAGGACGGCGGGGATCGGCTAAAGCTCATTTCTAAACGCTTGGCCCGATTTACGTCGCTCCTGACGCATAAGAACCCGCTCCTCAGGGTCCTCCACATCGGTGGCAGCACGGCAGATCTCGCTAGCTTCACAGAAACCCTCTCCTCCAGCAGCGAGCGCTGTCCTTGGTTTCAATACGACTACATCAAGCACTCCCAGGAAGAGCTCGCGCATGTAGAAGCCCACTGTGAACGCCTGGGACAGAATGTTCGTCTGAAGTCTCTGCAGCTGGACCAAGATCCCACCACACAGGGATTTGAGCCTTCTTTCTATGACCTCGTGGTTATTTCTCAGGTATGACAAAGCCGCATCCTGTCCGGTGATTCGTCGCGAGTGCCGCGTATTGACGATCCTCCAGCCACTGACCCCGGAGCAAGACATGCTCAAATCGCTAAACAATATCAGAGGATTAGTCAAGCCGTAGGTTACCACTGCCGGAGAAAGTGAGGCAGGCAATGCTAACATTATCGATTATCAACAGGGACGGCCGGCTCATCCTCATGGGAGTTCACATCACGCCACCAGAGGCGACCAGCCTCGTCTTGACTCATCCCGCCGAAGCCATGCCATGCCTTTCTCCCCACAACGCGACGAGCTCGTCCTGTTCCGAGGAGCAACTGTCGGAAATTCTGGCACGGAGCCAGTTCACGGGCATTGAGGTTCATCTCCCGGAAAATTCTCCTTCGCATCCCAGAGAGAGCGGTATCGTGATCAGCAGACCAAGAACGAAGGCTGTAGAGGCGAAGGCACTCGAGATGCCGCCCGTTCTGATCCTCACGGACGGGAAGAATGAGGCACAAGCCAAGTTTGCAGAGCAGCTCCGAAGACAGATCCAGAGCAATGTTGCGGATCTCGAGGTGTCGATCGCCCCCTTCCTAGAGGCAGTGACTGAGAAGCAGCCGCAGGGGCGCATCTGCATCTCTCTGCTCGAATACCATCGGCCGTTTCTGGCCACCCTGACCGAGGCGGAGTTCAACGCCCTGAAGGAGATGCTGACCCTGACCAACGACGTGATCTGGTTGGTGCGAGACGCGCAAACCCCGCGGAAACCCGAGTTCCATCTGGTCGATGGCTTTGCCCGGTCCTTGCGGTCCGAGAACGGGCAGCTCAAATTTGTGAAACTGGCTTTAACCGACTCGGACCGAACGCACGCCGTCGGCGGTCCGGCCACGGTGGTCACCGTGCTACAGCACGCGGTGCGCTCTTCGTTGGACGACATGGAGTTCGAGTACGAAGAGCGCAACGGGCTGCTCGAGATCAGTCGCGTCGTGCAGTCCAGAAGGCTGGACGCCTCGATCAGCAGGTCCACCGCATCCCACCATGTGGAAACCATCGAACTCGGCCGTGAAGGTCCGTGCCTGCAAGCCAAGCTCACGAAGCCCGGGTTTCCGGACAGCATGCGGTTCGAGGAGGTGGAAGAGATGTCTTCGTATCGGCCGCGCGATCTGGGCGAGTCGGAGATCCTCGTGCACGTGCACGCGGTAGGCGTCAGCCACGGAGACTATCTCATCGCCTCGGGGCAGGCCCCGGATGACGAGACCGGGATGTTCTCCGAGGGTGCCGGGGAGGTCCTGCAGGCGGGCTGGCGCAGTGGGTTCCAGGCCGGCGACCGCGTCCTGCTTCGGTATCCCGCCTGCTGCCGCACGTTCCTGCGCCTGCCGGCGGCCTTTGCGGCTCCCCTACCGCCGCAAATCTCCTTCGTGGAGGCGGCCGCACTCCCGACGGCGGGATTGCTGGCCCTCTACGCGCTGCGGATTCTGGGACGCATCTCGCCGGATGACTCCGTCCTGGTCCGCCATGCAGCCAACGGTGTCGGGCAGGTGGCTGTCCAGCTTGCCCAGCTCATGGGGGCCAAGGTCATCGTCACGGAGGATAGCCAGGAGAAGCGAGAGATGTTGCGAGCAAAGTACAGCCTTTCCGCGGATCTGGTCCTTCCCGAGCAGGAGGGTGGCGGCCTCGAGATAGTCCATGGGATCCGCCAGGCTACGCCGGAAGGATATGTGGATCTCGTCTTGAACTTCGACAGCAAGGAGTTGGAAGGGTCGTTGAATGCGTTGGCCCCGTGTGGGACGCTTATAAACCTGAGCCTGTCCAGAGATTTGCCGCCTGACCATCACCGTCTCGTGCGAGACGCTGCGGCCAGATGTATCACCCTTGCTACCGTGGACTTGTCCCAACTCCATCGCCAGAAACCCACGGTTGTCCAGAAGCTTCTTCGGCAACTGTCGCAGCTTATGCTGGATGGGTCAGTGGTACCGGTGACGCCGCTGAGAGTCCTCGCGGCATCAGATGTTTCCAAAGCCCTCCAAATCGTGCAGAGAGGTCAGACCGCCGGTAAGGTCGTGCTGGATCTGGGTCCGGGGCAGTCCGTATCGGTGAGTGCAGCTGTGTTCCCTTTTTTTTTTTTTGTTTTGGGAAGGATTCTGCAAAAGGCTAATCAATCGAATGACCATCACCTAGGCTCGTATGCGCAACAAATCAACGTATCAGTTCAACCAGGACGCGACATATGTGATTGCAGGCGGCTTTGGAGGGCTGGGCCGCAGCATATGTCGATGGATGGCGAGTCGAGGGGTGCGAAATCTCCTCGTTCTGTCGCGGTCCGGGGCGCGGTCCGAGCCGGCGCGCCAACTGGTTCAAGAGCTCAGTGCGCTCGGGGTCAAAGTGGTAGCGCCGCCATGCGATATCATCCAGCCGGCTTCACTCGCCGAGGTGTTGAAGGAGCATGCCTCTACGTTACCCCCAATCCGAGGATGCTTCCAGTGCACAATGGTCCTGAGAGTAAGTGACGACAGCCCTTTTCCTTGCAAAAGAAAAAAAAAGAAAAGAAAAGAAAAAACAAACAAGACCTCACTACACCCACAAAAGAAAGACATCTGCTGACCAAACCCTTCAGGACGCCGTGTTCACCAACATGACCTACGAGGACTTCATCGTCAGCACGCGACCCAAGGTCTTCGGCTCATGGAACCTGCACTCCCTCCTCCCGAAGGGGATGGACTTCTTCGTGCTCCTCTCGTCGATCGGCGGGGTGCTCGGCGCCCCCAGCCAAGCTAACTACTGCGCCGGCAACACCTACAAAGACGCGCTGGCGCGGTACCGGGTGCAGCTCGGAGAGCCGGCCGCCGCCATCGACCTGGGCATGATGGTCGGCGAGGGAGTCGTGGCCGAGACGGCCGGAATGCTGGACTCGCTGCGCCGCCTAGGCTACTTCATGGAGGTCAGCCCGGCCGACCTGCACGCGCTGCTGACCCACTACTGCGGGGCGCCGTGCCCGTCCCCCGCTTCCCCGGCCGAGGCGCAGGTCGTGGTGGGGATCGAATGTCCCGCCGCGATGGAGGCCAAGGGCTTCGACCCGCCCTACTGGATGCACCGCCCATATTTCCGGGCCCTCCACCTCGTCGAATCCCACCTGCCGACCACCACCGGACCCACCACCCGAGGCTCCGGGCCCGCCGCCGCCGCCGGAGGCGCAGCGGGGAGGGCCGGGGCGGATGCCGCGGCCGTGCTGCGCGCGAGCCCGTCCGTCGCGGCGGCTGCGGCGCAGATCGTGCAGTGGGTCGTGGCCAAGCTGGCGCAGATCCTGGGACTCCCCGCGGAGGAGATCGCCGTGGACCGACCGGTGCATGCGAACGGCATCAACTCGTTGGTAGCGGTCGAGCTGCGCAATTGGTTCGGGAAGCGCATCGGCGCGGATGTCGCGGTCTTTGAGATCCTAGGCAACATGACTCTGGCGGAGCTGAGTAAGTCGGCGGCCGAGAAGACTCGCTTTCGGGATTGATAATATCCAGCCAGATGGTCTGCCTCTCTCCACGCCGAGAGATATTGCAGTTCCTGGATCAGGGGATCTTGCTGGCTGGAGACTGAGCAACAACACTCACTTTGGCATGAACAAGAGCGCCCGTTGGGTTGCCGTACACTGTGCTGGAGGGAATAATCGAGATTGACAAGAGAATCCTTTGGACAATGTATACATCATACCTAGGAACCCGTTCTGGTGGTTTGCCCTTAGCCCCCTCCCCTCCAGCCGACTATCGCGCAGCTTCCCGAGTGGAAATATAGAAATCCGCCAAAATGATTCTGATCCTGCTGTCTATGAATCTGCTGGGATCTCTTTCAGGCCCACCCTGTGTAGCTAGCTAGCCATCTAGGTACCTGTTCGGGAGACAATGTGATTAGATTTCACGGAAAGAACTTGTGGTTGCGGCGATTGCCAGATTATCGATGGTTAATGTCCTCAAGTCATCGTACTGTGTGGAATCGGCTTATATCTGATTCTCACAACCTCTATATCTCTGACCGAGAATAACAAGAACTATCTCTGTACACGTGCACTGGCATTGACCAAAGCGTCAGCAACGAGATGATGGCCACGGTCCCAAACGCTTTGTCGGGTGTCAACCGCTAGGATTGAACGATATAGATAAGAAAGACTAGAAAAGGACCGATCTCCACCGGGATCATCACTAAGTGCTTTTGTTACTGCCAGATATGTGGGGACAAGACCATCAAGGACCACATGGTCGATTTTGTCCTTGGAGAGTCGTATCAGGAGGTCAACCTTGACGATAACCCGTGTATAATTTCCCAAATGTGGGCACTTTCTGCCCATCGAAAACATGAGACGCACAGATGGACATGAAGAAGTACTATATTCTTGATGCCCAGGGAAGACCTGATCGGACTGGGTAGCATTGCTGGAGCCGTTCTCTATAGACAATATTAAAACACACGCTAGCTGTCGAGGGCCAGTAAGCGATATTGCCAGGTACAGGCGGTTGGTCCGACGTGCTTTATTGGATGAGTCGACGAAAATGTTGATTTTGTATGTGAACCGCGAGTATGTTCCCTCTTGCGCAAGAACTTCCCCAACGTATTCGACAACTCCAGGACGCGAAAGTTTGCCAGCCAGCTATCTGGCCAGAGAAGATCGAGCTCAAGGGTACACGCGATGAGCAAATTCACCGTCTCTGCCAACCACAAGGGACGATGGGCTGAAATGCTCGGTCTACGACAGCGAATCGACCGAGACAGAAAGCGAGTGACACCTGAGGAGCAGCCGTACAGCAGAGTACGCAATCTGGTCACTACTGCTCGCCGTCGAGAGAGGCCCACGGAAGAAAGCTTCCAGCCTGCACCTGATATCCTCCAAATGAAGGGGACCCCTTTCAGGCCACTGCCCTCGCTTTACGGCTCGATATCGCTCTACTTGCGGACCTTTCTAGGACTGCACCGCGACGCGGCAAAGCGATCGCAAACTGTGATTGTGATAGACCTGTCGAGAGCCCGAAAAGAGTGCAAGAGTCTTGTAGAGACAGCATCGCACTCCAAGCGCATAGTCCATCAGACGGAGGGGGTATATCTTCCTGGCCCAGCTCCACTCATTCGAGCGATCGTATGCCGCCTCATCTAAGGTGGCAGAACAGCACGTTGTCCACGCCAAGGAAGCCCTCGATCACGCCAAAGGCCTCTGTGTGTTTTGGCCGGGTCACACCAGGGGCCTGATGGAGGAGATTGAGGGCGTCGAGAAAATGCTCCGGGGCACCACGTTCTACACCCCAGTAACCAACGAAGAACGCATAGCGGTCATTGCTGCGACGGCGCGCGAGTTCCGTGGAACGGGTCATTGGTACTATTGTCGTAATGGACATCCGTTCACTATCGGGGAGTGTGGCATGGCAATGCGGAGATCAGTCTGTCCTGAGTGCGGAGAGCCAGTTGGGCAAGAGAGCCATGCGGCGGCAGAGGGAGTGACACATGCGAGGGACTTGGAGGAGGGGATGGAGCGGATGCGCTTGGAGTAAAGCCATGTACTGGTGTGACCCTTTGAATAACATGGAGACTGCCACATTCTTGTATTTAATGGAAGTAGTCGGATAATGTGTGTATACTCTGTACGATTCTCTTAGCCACAGCCCTCAATCAAACACAGTCACTCACAGCCCAAGTATAAACATGCCAATCAGTCCACCAACCCCATCCCCATCCCCATCCCATGCTAACACCTCAGTCGATCAAACCTCACAAGTCCTCCAAACCCACAACCTCCCAAACCGACACCCCCCACGGCAACAATCGGCATCACTCCAACACGACTCCCCTCCCTCCTTACAAACCCTCACATCCCCACAGACCCTCTCGCCATTCACCCCACAATTCCGAGACACACAGTCCTCATCCCGCGCACACGGGGCCCCATAAGCCCCCACCGAGGGCACCTCCTGACAAAGCTTCATCAACGGATCCGCACTCCAAAGACTATACACACACGCCAACCCCTCCCTACACTGTTCCGTGGTCTGACAAGAATCCCCATACTCCCCCCTCGGCCTGCCACAGAACCCCACCTCACAGACCCCAAACCCACACTGCGCATCCACAACACACGCCGCCCCGACTCCCAGCACGCCGGGTAAACACGTGTTCGTCTCCGCCGCGCAGATCCACCTCTCCCCAACCCCTGCGGAGGAAGAAGGATTCACACAGTCGGATACACTGGTACAGTTCTTCCCGGTTTGGGTAATCGCACAGCTCCCCGCAGCACAGAAATTACTCGTGCATTCTTCGTCGAGGGCGCAGCAGGTTCCTTGTTGGAGACGGGGAAGGCATTTTCTGGGACTGGCTTCGCGGAAGCAGTATTCGTTTTCGGCTGCGCAGGTGCTTGGGGTTGTGCAGGTGGGGCGCGTGGTTAGGTATTCTGGGGACGGGTCGGGGGGTGGGGTGCAGGCTTTTGTTGGTGTTGTTATGGATAGGAGGAGGAGGAGGATGGGAAGGGAGAGGAGGTGCATTTTTTTATGGGTTGTTGTTTTTGGGTGAGAGGGGAGGCCTATCGGGGGTAGGAAGAGGAGGAAGAAGACGGGAGGTTTATGTATGGTTGTCTATTGTGGTTGGAGTTGATTGGTGGTGGCGATCTGCAACGTTATTGATCCCCCTGCATGCGGATTGATAGCCCTGCTTTTGAGGGGCTTGGCAATTTCCGGGATACTTGTCATAGAGGGATTACTATTTTGGGTGCGTTTCTATGTTTGGTTATGTTAGGGGTGGGTGTGAGCTAGTTAAAGGATCCTGCTAAGTGGTTGGTTCTTTCATAGGCAAGATCTAAATAGGTGCACTGTATCCGGGTGTAAAAATCGATATTAGAACAAAGATGGTCTTCACTGGTTCTGTGGGTATGGAGCAAATAGCAATTGATTGTAGCTAACCCAATAATTCAATAATTCAATCAGAAACAAGGACCTTAGCTCAGGATTGCGGCTTCAGGCTCTCATTACCCCCAGCATCCATCTCCTTCGCCCAGCTCTCCATCTGCTTCCGCCATTCCTCCACCCTCTTCGTCGCCTTCGACAATACACCGTTTCTAGCCTCCTGCCCACAGATGTGTTCAAACAATTGCATCTGCCTGATCAACCCTCTCATACCTTCGCGGACCCCCTCCTTCACCATTACATACTCTCTCCGGGCTGCCTCCCTCTGTACAGTCAACCGCCGGTCTTTCCACTGCCCAAATGGTCCCAGAACCATGGTGAATATTGTGTTCAGTACTTCTTCCGTCTCTTGGTTGTACTGCACCACATCCTGCAAATGAACCTCGTGCACCACAAGCATCTGATGCCCATACACATCCACCGTTTTTACCTGTTCCTGTCGCGCACAGGCTTCAGATGAGCACAGCTCCTCCGCCTTAGGATGGCTGAACGATCCCCATTTCTCATCCCCAGCTTTGCTGCAGCACTGGCACAGGATCAGGATCTGCGGGTGGATGTATTGCAGACACTTCAGTGTACGCTCGAACGAGTCCGCCACCAACTCAGCGGACCCCCTCGAAACTAGCGATCCGTCAGTGATCATGGGGTACGTGTCCATCGCAATCATGTCACGTAGTCCAGGCTTCATCAACTCGAGGTTTTCTTTCAACCACCCCAGCGTAGGCGATAGTTGAACCATCTTCCCACACTCCAATCCGTCGGACGGACTGGGCTTGAGTAAAAAAATCACGGGAAATCCCGCCATCCACAGAACAATTCCTTCCAATTGTGAAGCTTGCCTCCCAGATCCCATGCTTTGCCTGGAATTCCCGGCCGGCCCTGTAGAGCGGACAGGAATAATCTAGCACGAGTTGGCGGGTGCCTGTGCGTTTCAACTTGCGCAGTTGTTTCGGGATTGTCTTTTGGGCTAAATCGTCCACAAAGCCTCCGTCAATGTAAGGTTTGATTGGTTTGCCGCATTGTTTCTTTGCTTCTTCTATACTGATGAGAAGTGGTAGCAAGTCATTTGATCACCGTGACTTCGTTATGACAACTCGACCACCGACACCGTCGGAAGTGTATCTCCGACTCAATCGCACAACTGAGAACCAACATCATTGTCCCCTCACTACCAACTGCTACTCTTCTACACATGCTAGGGGGTATAGCAGACTCAGCACGCGCCTGAGAGACATAGTTTGTAGTCCGGGAATCGAACGATCGTGACGTTGGCCTGTTGTAAATGCTCCGCAATGTCCCCGGTCCTATGCAATGTCACGGCATCCAGGTATGTACTTGGCTTATGGGGAAGGATACATGAGTCTTGAAGGGTAGAGTATCCTTTATATAAGCTCACCCATGCGGATGAGGCTAGATGAGGCTGACAGCAACCGACATAACGAACATTGACGGCCGTCTGAGGTGTGGCACGGGGTGAGGTTCGGACTATGCAGTGGGAACTACCTACACGGGCAACGTGTATGGCAAGCGAATCAGCTGATCGGAAACCACCAGGCCTGTCAAACATTCCGTCTTATTATGATTGCTACGTCTCTTCAATAATGCTGCTCTAAATACTTATTATCCCACTCAGTCTCCACAATAATGAGTTAGTAGCCGCAACTATCTGCGGAAAATACCGTCAGACTCGTTACCTATCATGATTTACTCGTCTGTGCAGAGGGTATGGCGGGAAAAAGAACTTCATTCGTCATCTATGATAGCCTATTGAGCGATTTCTGATTGTTTTCGCAACCTTCCCCTTCGCCGTGGTAGCAATATCCGAGATGACAGTTGTATCGGCGTCTGCCCCTTGTAAAATTGACATGCTACCATATGCGTCGTGCGTAATCGTAGCAAGAATATAGGGTGGTTCGGAGACATGAAAAATCTTCCACGCGGAATCCCCCATCTTTGCTACCAGAGCGAGTATCGAGTATTGGGTATAGTAAGAACGATCACATCATCTGTATGCGAATTTCTCGCAGCATGCGCATCTAGGAGAGGATTATAAACACCAGCCGGTACTCTGGCTGGTGTTTATAGTCCCGCCTATAACCAAGTGAGACGCTACCGACGATATCAGTAAGCCATCCCGTCTTGAGACTCAGCTCTGAGGACTGAGAGTACGGTTAGTAAGAGATATGAGTGACGTTAGTTAGTGATCGGAACTGGAAGATCACTTACCATGCTTCTTTTTCAGACCTCAGCCCGTGGAACATCGATCCGCGAGCGCGTGGTTTTCCAATGGTCGATTTGCAGGCTCTAGCTCTCTAGCTCGGCACTAATGGGTTCGATTCATGATGAGGTGACGTGCTATCCAAGGGAAAGGTCGCGTGTAGTCTTTGGTGGGCTCCCTAGAATGTTCGGTTCGTGATACGGGACCTGCATATAGACTGCTGTGAGGGTAGTCACCAACCGTTTAGTAGCATTGACCATGGTCCGCGGGATATGCTCGCAGAATGTTGCCATGAATGTCCTCGGGGCTAGACGAAGAGATAGGACAGGGAAACGAGAGCGGAGAATCGCAGAGAATGAGGCGAGTTTGTAGGCAGGAAAAGGAGGATACTAGCATCAAAGCACCATAGTGGAACCAGTGCGAGTCCCACCCGGCAAGTGTGAGGATACGTCTTTTATCGGCTGCTTCAGGATGGCAAGCTGTGCAGTGGCCAAGCGCTTGAGATCCAAAATTTTGTCCACTGATCCTCGAAGGAATCTTTCTCTTCTGTCAGACTTCTACTGTGTTGACGTTGACGCAGGGAGCACTTTTCCCGCTTCCCTATTTTCCATCCCATCAGGGTTCTCACTGGACACGCAGGTCATTCAATGAGCTCTATTTGGAAAGACTGACGCAGCTTCAGCCGTGATGGCAGTTGTTGAGCGGTGAAGAACGATGGAAGAGCAGCGCAGCGTTTCTCCTCTCTTCTATCTTCTGGTCAGCATCACAACCTTGGATCAGGCATAAGTTTCACATGCGAGACCACCAAGACGGCAATTTGAAAGGCATACTTTACCCATGGCCTGGACCATGGTAGTCTCCCAGTCCGCGGCTCGGCCGTTGTACACCGGGTCGCCGCCCCTTTTACAAACCCAGAGCAGCGAAGAGCCAGCTATTTCTGACCTCCTGGGTCCGGTAACCTTCCGGTCTCTGTTCGTCCCCATCAAGGCATCCGCCCCGAAGCAAGGCCCCTCGGAACATGCTTGGCCACAGCCCTCAAAGGAAATCAGTCATCACTGGAGAGCAGGCGGAGCCAGACTAAAATCGGGACAGTCTGGCGGCAGGCGACGGACTCGCGGTACACCTCCAACAAGGGCTATCGAATGTGCACCTATCAGCGACTTCCATACACCTGATAGCTTTCTAAACCTCCTTGACGTGCTTTCTTGCTCTGGGCGACCAACCTGTGCCATCTGGCGGTAGATAAGGTCGGCGGGTTCCACGACCGTGGCGAGGAGGACGCATGGCTCTTCAACCTGGGGTTGAACCATATAATCATACGAGAAGTCTATCTGGATGGATCACAGCTCCAGACTTGCATTCACATTGGGGTCACCTCTCTTTCGAAATTGACACGATCTCTGGCAAAAGTTTCCTGGACTTCGCATGCGTCCCTATTCTCTGTTTGCATGTGTGCATTTTTGGAATCGAGATGGTGCCCATTATGACAGCATTAAATGTTTTATCGGCGTGCATGCAAGCCTAGGATTGTTCTTCATCATGCATCTGGTATTCGCTGTCATGTTCAGAAGCTCTTCGTCTATAAGGATACTTAATCATTGTACTTAGCGTGTCGAGCAAAGATCGCTCATCCCTTTCAAGACATGTGCATCACTTCGATGCACCAAGGCTGGTCGACCCATTGTTTCTGTCGACTGTCTTGCTTTCGATGACTTGGGAGCTTTGCTATGGCTCGCGTTTCTTGGCTCTATCGTCCAGTATTTATTGATGGCTGTATTTTGGTCCGGAACCGAGGCTCATTTCTTCCCACAATACCAGATAATGAGCCTAAAAGAGGCCCACGGCATGCCATGCTGGTCGTGGTGTTGGTAATAGTATTGGTGGTGGTGATCGCACTGGTGGTGGTGATCACACCAGATAATCGCACCAGGTAAGCGAACGTGTGATCCCCGGTTTCGACGAGTACCGAGAAAGGATAAATCCCAGTATTCCTTTGCGCGCGGCAAGTTCTCCGAGCCGTTTTTGTTATCTCCCAGCAACTCGACAGTGGAATTTGCATCTAGGCCCTTACAGAGGGCTAGTACATACTTGCCCTTCCCTGGCACTGTAACTATGAACTGCGAGCAAAACTCGAACGAAAATTCCGCTGTAAAACCATTCTGTGAACTGGATAGTTGAGACGAGTTAGCCTAGCAACTAGAGACATTTATAAATGCTGGCTGAACTCATTCCACACTGGAGTCACGCATATGTAGCCCAGTTGAGTGAAGTTGAAAGGCTATCTTTGTCTTCTCCTCTTCTGTCTTCTCCAACCACGCCGCCCCTTTCAGCCAAACTTTTGTGTGCAAGCTGCACCACTTGCCCTTCTCACTTCTCCAACAATAATTGGCACACGTCTGAAATTTTACCGCCCGCCCGGTAAGCACTGAGGGTTCAGGAAGGAATATACTTGGTATATGCATCTGTTGGATAACACTCTTGACTCTCCAAAGAGCTTTGTCCATATCCCCTTGAGAGTAGTGCATTTTTATAGTAAAGAAATGCACCAGTGCAGGAGCACTGTCAGTCTCAGTCGAGTCGACATCTTCAAAGTTAATGATAATCGTTTTCGAATACGGGTTTATCGGACTCATAAAGCAAAGAGTCTGGTCAGAGACGCTTAGTTCCGTAGAAAAAGCAGGAATAACTGACCTCTCCTCTGTGGGAGAATTTTGGTCCAGCGGTCAAATGCCGCTGTCAACCGCAGAAACAAGTAATTCTTGTATGTATTATGCCGGAGAGCCGCTTTCTGAATGCAGCTTCGGCTTTGGGATGGCTTGTCACTCACTTCCATAACTGGCGAAACATGTTCGACGTACCTAGAATTGTTCGTACTGGACTGTTCGTACTGGACAATAACATTGAGATAGACATGGGTATCTGGTAGGTCTAGCAGTGCCGCGTCGGACATCTCGGTGTCCTGCGAGGCAGCGGTGGGGAGGGCGGGGACATTCCCCATCTCTTCGTCCGCATCGTGGGTGTCATTATGATTGGTCGCCATTTCTCTCTGACGGGCGGATCAGTATTCCCCCAGCCACTCAAGTTTCGATTTCCGGAGATGAACTTACTTGGTGAGAGTGATTGTAGCGGATAGTAGACTGTGATGGGTTGTAGCCGATTGTGGAGGAGGACGGTGGGTGGTTCCGGAGAAGAGTCCGACTTTCGAGACTGCATGTTGGATTATTACGGCAGTCCATTGCAGCCATGAGGCAAATATGCGATTTGTTGTTATTCTTAGCTTTCTCGCTTAGGATCTGCCGGCAGGATCAATTTCTCTTCTTATTGGCCAATTCAATGTACGTACATAAAGCTATACAGGCTTGTTTAGCTTCGCCTTTCGGCTGCTAATCCTCAGCACCACGGAGAGGTGCAAGCCTTGCCCAGGATGTTGTATACAGGTATTCCGTACAACTGGGGTGCTAAAAAGAAACATCTAAATTGTACGTACCTTGGTCAAGGATGATCGGCCCATCTTGGTGGGCATTTCAACTAGCATTACTTTATCATCATCATCCTCCTCCTCTTGTCTCTCGTCCGGCTCCAAAACGATAGGGTTGGCCCCATTGTCCCCTTATACATTTCTATCCTCAACGACGATCGGTTCGTTATCATTGATGACAATTTGCTCGACGTCTAGGAAAACAGGGTTACTATACGCTGTGCCAGGTAAACCCCGGGGTTGAACCACAGCGCCGCGTTCTTCCCGTACGGCCGGCCACAACTCGTCTCGGACGGAGCACAGACTGCCTTTGTCTGGCCACTTGCAGTTGGCGCATGCTCCTCCGAATGCGCCTGGGAAATGGCGGCATTCAGGAAAAGGCCCCCCCCCCGGTACCAATGCGACACTTGGTACAGATGCCTCATGTTCAGCACCGGCGCGGTATATGCAGGGGATATGCTCACCATGATGGTAGCCATACACCGGATGTGGGTTAACCGCGGACCGCACTTTCTCATTATCAAAATCATGTATTGTTCACATATGCCACGTCTGCATTGTGTATAAGAGCATGGGCAAAGGTTGATCCATAGTGATAAGTTAGAGACAATCTGAATACGGTCAGCATATCTCGAGAACGGCCATAAGTCACCGATTTCAGCTGCCATGACATTTCGGCCTGAGGAATCTGGCCATTGAGGACTAAAATTGGCCGAGGGAGATTCCATAAGTTTACACCCGACACTACTCTGTGTGCCCAAACTCATCAAGCTTTGGGCCCTCGATGGAGCGGTTTATCTCCGGTAATAATAGGCTGATCGGTAGGGGGTCTCTCCGGCCGCGCCTTCGTACCACACGACAAGCGAACAGGTGCTGCCGACCCCAATCACTCGCCGGCTTATAGCTGAGGGTCGAAAAGGTCTCCATAGCCTCCACTCTAGATCGGTTATTGTATCTGGCTTCGGAAGTAATAAGTTCGAAGTACAATAGGATATCCTTGGCTCAGGTTCCTGCCGCTGTTATTATTATCACTGACTTTGCAGCCCACGGGGTCTGAGCTATGTATACAGGTCACATAAAAGATCGGTAGATGGCTACAGAGAAGATCTGAAGGATTATATAGGAGAACAGACTCGTGCTGCCGATGAGAATGGTGGCAGTAGTGATTGAAAGCGAAGGTAAAGGATAAGACGTAAGGATCCTATTAGGATTGAATGCATTTAGGCCTATTAAAGAGCCTCTGCCCAGCCTGTGCTACCATAGTCTCTGCGTAAGTCCCTATGGCGGTTTTCAATCGTCGTGATGATTGGAATCTCCAATGAACACGGATCCTCGCGCCCGGAACGGTTGTCAGCGAGCGGCACAGCCGTGGCCAACACCGGGAGTGTCCTTGCAATTCAACAGCATTCGTTTCTTGCAAGATCGTCTATATCACGGATTGGACGCTGAATGGTAGTTTATTTGATATCATGAATTCTATAACTCGTTCTTGTCTTTTGGCGTTGTTTCGACTCAGGAAATTGTAGCTCTTCATAATCGATTCCTGTCTGGTCGAGAGCCCTGCTGTGGTAGTCTATACCGAAGGACTCAGAAATCAATATAGAAAATGATGGTCACATTATGTAGTCCTAGGCGATATTAGAATAAATATAGTGGAAGGAAACCCAAAGACAGGTGTGAGCGAGACACCTGCTAGGCGCTATGATGGATCATGGAAGTTCCTCATACCATGTGCGGAAGTTCTCGCACCCAGCAGCCATAGATCGCTGTGAGTAAAAAGAAAGTGTTTTTGTTAGCGCCATTCAGCTGTGTCGCAATAAGCGACCGCAGCAATCCGAGTATGTCTGCAAGGTAGAATTACTCGATTTCTTTATAGGTCTGGGCGAGAAATATCAACTTGAAGCGCGCAATGGCCGGCACCACACCGGTTGCACTCCGCATCACACATTCTGCTCGAGTGTCAGAATAGGGTAGATATAGGCTGACCCATGGGCTATCTTTTGTAATTCTCCTAATTCAGCCTATTTTCTCTTCTGCTTATACACATAGGGTCACTTTACCTCAGACTTTCTATATCATGAATGATGTCGCGGCTTGTTCTAAGTCTTGCTAGAGAATGTGGTTCGGGGTAATCAAAGCAATTCCGTTAGAGTTGAGTAAGTCAAAAGTCTACATAGCCTCAAACGAATGGAAATCTTCAGCGAATGGGCAAGCGAGACTGAACGGGCCTCATATTTCACACAATCCTGTACTAGGGCCAGCTGCAGGCCCGGTCAATCTTCCACAACGCCTCTGTCACGCTTACCAGGGGATTGCGACGCTCTCCCTGTCGAACACCGGTTGGCCATAAATGGCTCTGATAGCTTGAGTCGGTCTGTGCCGACTCTTTTTAGTGGAACGACGGCATCGTATGTCGATAGAAAGCCGAGCTGGCACTCGTACGCGTTCATGTATGAGCCCAGTTGCGCTAGTATGCTACTAGTTCTCTTAAGGTCTAGCAAAGCGTCAATTGCTCGTTTTTGCGCTATGGTGTCACGGCTGCAGCGATTATTTGTGTCTCGTGCGCGGGCTGGTTGTTGACAATAGCTAAAAGGAAATGAGAATCCCAGTGCAGAAAGGTCGACTTCGATTTCCTAAGTCGCATTTCTATATCCAGTAGCTTAGGATGGGCTGCTCGAACCAGCGGGAACAGGCCGAAAACCAAGGCACGGTTGCTAGCCACCTCGAACGGGCTGTAATGGTGATACCTCATGTGTCCCAAAGGTAGACTTCTGTCTCAAATTGTAGGTGGATTGAAGTCAATGGAGGACTCGAGATCTTCTGTCTTTGCTCTTATCTGATATGCGGTCATATGGAAATCGGAGATGGTAAAAGCTGGACGAGGCCCCTTGAACCCCCTTGGTGACAAACTTGATGGAGCACGAGCTGCGTAAGTTCGAGCCAGGCTCATGTTAGAAGCAGGCAACGTAGTGTTTCTTGCCAGGGTTGGGTTTGTAGGTGTCGGCGTCACTGTCGGACTCGGATTCTGGCTTTGATTTGAGTTTGGCAATAGCTCGACTGTATACCTCCGTCATAGCAGATACGCTGCTATCTGAGCTTATCGGCTAGGCGACAATGTTTGTCAAATTTGCACTCATTACAATGTAGCAGGAGGTGGGCATCTGTTCAAGAATGAAGGTTCCCTGTCATTGTAAGAGCCCTCAAGAAAGTTGCACGCTTGCGAATAGTGAAAGCTCTTTCCGTATGTGGCTCCGTGCGGTATTTCCTATCTGAATAACTGAAGTTTGAGGTTGTACATTTCCAGGATGGGGAGATTGTGGATGGTGGTATTGTCGGGGCCTCTTACTCATTCTCATTGATGTAGCAAGTGGGTGCCAATCGTTTGTCTGTATGATGGTGGAGAAGCTTGGAAACCTCGTTAGACTGCGAGAAGGCCAGGGGTACGGTATAATCAGCTGCGTCTGATTATTTCCTGATCTCTGGTTAGATTGCATCTCCAAATCGTCAACATTGTTGAGTAGAGGTATCAATCAGGATGAGGATAGTGCCAGCGCCGTCGTCCGACATCGGTACGAGAAAGGGATTCTCGTGGCCAATGCGTCTCTGAGACGTCAATTGCAAGCACCAGCATTGTGATCAAGGAGCGACCGTTGGAGTATTGAAGATGGGGTAATTAGGGGGTGCATGTATTGGAAGGCTCCTAGGCCTTAAGCAGGAGTGAGAGCCAATTTTGTATCACACACGTGCGAAAAGGAGCCGAACAGCAGGAGACAGAAGGGCAACATTGTGAATGTCTTGGCGCCTTTACTCCCCCATTGATGCTATCTGAGCTCGATTGCGCTTGTGAATCTCATTAGCGTAGCTTCCTCGAAGAATCGATATGCCTTGGGCTCAAGATCTGAATGAGCGTGCGACTAAGGATGTCGGTTCTTCCAAACCAACCGAATGCAAGCCTGGATTAGATACAGTCGACATTCGAGACTTACCCCTGCTGATAAAGTGTTGTCGATGCTTCAGAAGGCTTTCTATGGTTTTATTCGTGACCATCATCCTCCTCCTTTCTCTCAATTCTCATAATGAAGACAAAATCGTGATACGGACCTCAAGGCATGCTGCGCATTACATATTGTACGGCTGAGCCTTTAATCGTATCTTTTTGGATTCAGATTTTTCCACCACATGAAAATGGACTCTCCACCTTTTCTGGGCAAGCTCGAGGTTGGGATACAGACCGAGAGACAAGGTGGGAAATAGGCTGGGAACAGGCCGAGAGGCAAACTGGCACGCGTCACCACCACTTTCGCCGGCACTCCGAGTACGTTGACGTGCTGGCCCTGCCGTGATCTCAAGCCCGGCTGACTTGTTCTAGATTTGTGCATCTCCCAATCATCGGGCTATCTACATCATGATAACCTCGACGTGTGCTTCAGGTTGAGATCACACATGCTCTCATTGTGTTGAGCCGGAGCCTTCAAAGTCCTCAGAACGTACGCTAACCGGCTGATAGGATGAGTAGCATTTAAGCGCGGCTGGGTGCAACATTGCGATGTTCTGCTATCACCAATGAACCTAATCTTGAGCAGAGGCACACATGCAGGCTTTGTCAACAAGGTTGCTTGGCTGCCGAGAGGGCCGCATTTATAACAAAAGACTAAAGGTTTGAAGCACATCTGATTGGATCCTTCTGTATCAAGGGGGTAATGCTACTGTAGTCAATATTAGCCTAGTATCTGTAGTTTCGGCAATCTGCTTAACTTACTATGCTCGTGAGGCGCTCATTTTATCTTGGATGAAAGTGTCCGGGTCCGCCGAACAGGCAATCTGTGTATTAAGGCGGTGGATGACATCCCAAGTGACAGATTCGATTATGGTTGTCAAAGGAGACCCAGATAATGCTTATCCGAGAATATCATCAGATTGAAAGCAACGATGGATTACTTGAAGAAATTCCGTTAATTTATGATTCATGAAAGGAGAGAGGAGAAGCTAGGCCGTAGTCGTCACACTTGCAGTCGAGTCTCTTGCCCCTGGGC